CGTCGAGGGTATCACCTGTCATGAACCGATGCTGCGTCATTCCCCTCATTGCGGGTATCATTGATCGAGTCCTTACAATGAGTTTGATCCCATCGAATTTCAGGGTTGCGTGCATCGTTAACAGTGTTATCTACCGTTTTTGTGATTTTTTCTAAGAAAGAATAATCAAAACACGTTAGTAAAAAAGGCAAGGATCAATTTAATTACACGACTGTCTAGGCCCCACGGTGGGTGCCAAACTGTTTACCCGTAAAACGGTACAATTAAATTTATACGTTGTTTTTAAACAAGTAAACTACTTTGATCCTGAAATAATATAATAATCGAAGAAATACACAGTACTTAGCCTTGGAACGTAGATGAAATAGCAAAGATAGTGATTCCGAGAACACGATTTCCGAACACAACAATGATGAGATCAAAAGGTAAGAGAGTGAAATTGTATAAAGCTTTATGTAGAATATAGTATATGTTTTTGCTAGAAAATTCATATGATTTACAATGGTAACTGAGCTCACTATTTATAGTTATGTCTATGGAAAGAGATCCTAGGATCATGCCCTCCTTTAATGCCAATTATGAGAGTCATTGATAAAGATTTGAACGTAAATGCCAAATTCTTTGTAATGGACCGTCGCTCTTAATGTTGTAGAATATTCCTTAGTAAATGATACCGGGCGTAGAGCATTTAATACACTTTTATGAACGTTATCCGTTCCGGTAACAAGCGTAGTGGCTGCGTATCTTGGATTCCACGTATCCTCCTTTTAGTCAGCCACGTGTCTTATCATATTTTATCCTATACAGTTTTATGTATTTGAACCCCGTTTTCCTATTTGATGCTTCATGTATGCTTGTTTGTTGTTTTGTGACTTGTGGGGATGGTTGGTTTGGTTTCATGAAGGTTTAGGTTGGAACACTTAGTTCTATTGTTATAAACTTAAGTTGTAAGAGTTGACCACGATTTGAATTTTAGGTATATGATATCGGATTGATGATTTTATGATTCCAATAGGTTCGTTTGGTGATTTTGGACTTAGGTATATGTTCGAATTTGGACTTGGAGGTTCCTAGAAGGGGAAGGTTGCAGAGACAATTTATTCTTGTTAGTATTACATCGTTTCACACCTGCGATTAGTTGCGGCATTGCAGCTCCAGCACTGAGCATTCAGAAACGGACGCGTCAGTGCCATGTGTGTATTAATAGACAGAAACTGGGAGCTTCAGCACCTTGTATTTGGGCATTAAAGCACCAGTATTGGGGGACTTGGTGTCTAAACTTGGAGACATGTCCCTTATGAATGGATTTGATTTCTTGGCTCATTAGAAAACAGTTAATTGAGGTTCAACAAGATAACAACAAAAGAAATTCTTCTGACACAATCAAACAACAGATTTCAAACAAAGAACCTACAGAAAAGTCCTACCTCTTCATATTGATTTTCATGATCTTGCTCAGAAATACTGCATAATTTCTTGAGTCACGTTAATTACATTGTATTCCTAGTGAATGCTCTAAATTTGAATTCATTGCAGAACACAATCGATTATTGACATTATTGTATCCTAAAGACAATTTCCAGGAACTTTAAATTTCCTGTGCATCAATATGTTGGTAGTGGCTGGTGAATTCAGCTTTTAAGGAAAGATATGTTGTAACTCTTCATAGAGTTTGATCATCTTGCCAAAGAGATACTGCAAAACTTCTAGGGTCAAGTTAGATACTTTCTGTTTCCTTGTGAATGTAGATGATTGGCGTTTATTGTATCCTAGCTACGGGAACTTTTTTCTTACGCTAATCATGGTGTCCGGACCAGTTTATACGCACCTCAACTAATTTTACCAGCAACAAGTATCAAGTAAGTCTATCCAATAAGGCTTGGACAAATGAAAAGAAATCACCTAGTAATTTTTCTCTCCACCGAAAATTAAAATTTGAGACCTTATCATTCTAAACTCACTTATTTGGCTGCTAATTAAGCCACGCCCCTTGGATGCAATTTACGATAACTCTTTTGTACATCAATTTGTTGGNGTTTTAATTTATGTGAGTTTATTTCTTTTTTAATCCGTGCAGAAAAGAATGACCTCTTTACCTATTTGAAAACAATTTATGCAATTGAAACGAAAATATATGTATCCAATTTACATCACAAGTTAAAAGGGAAAAGAAGGTAGTGTTTGAAATGGGGAAAAGGAAAACTTTTACGCGATTGCCATTATAATATTATAATATTAAATACATAAAATAAACTTTTATCATATTAATATTGTAATATGGCCATTATTTTGTCAAATGGAGTTCATCTCACATAAGCATAAGTATCTTTGCAAAGTATATACTTTGTTGGCAATATTCTTTGGGACCCAAAAATATTGCATTGTGTATTGGACATCATTTGCACAAGTTGTATCTCTTCTTTTACACCTAAGAGGTCAAGACTTTTTTGCCTATAAAAAGGAAGGCCATTAGTTCATTTTAGACACACCAACGAGACTTGAGTCTTCATTTCTTATTTCTTCCTTTCTTCCTTTATTAAGAGTGTTTTGTATGAGAGTTAGTGTTGGGAAGCACTTGTGTGAACCCTTTCTTTGGAGTGATCTTGTCAGGTTATTCCCTTAGGGTATTTGGGATTAATTAGAGTATTTACTATAATTTTGTACTCTCTTTTGTACTCTTATTGTTATAGTAAATTGCCCATCTCCGCTTGTGGACGTAGGTCACTTTGACCGAACCACGTTAAATTTGTGTCTTCTTTATCTACTTTAATTGTCGTTGTTATGAATTTTCATTGTCTTTGTTATTGTCATTATATCGTTGTTTGGCTAAATTTCGCACTACCCAGATTCTCGATCCTAACAAATTGATATCAGAGCCAGATTTAACCGGGTTAGTTTCAATAGCCAAAATGACTCTAACAAAGACCTATGTTGAGAAATTTGACCGAAGTGCAAACTTCGGAATGTGGAAATTCAAGATGGAAGTTATCCTAATTCAGGATGGCTTAGACTTAGCGTTGCAAGGAAAGGAGAAGAAGCCGGATAAAATGACGGACGAGGAGTTTACCATCATAGACAAAAAGGCAAAAGCAGGTATTATTTTAAATCTCTCAAATGAGGTTTTACGTGAAGTTTCTGTAGAAACCACAGCTAAAGGCATGTGAAAAAAATTGAAAACCTTATATATGAAGAGGACGGTGGAAAATAGACTTTACCTAAAGCGGAAGCTTTATACAATTCGTATGAGTGAAGGTAGATCTATTCTCTCTCATCTTGACACCTTTGATTCCATTTTTATGGATTTGAGTAATATAGATGCTGAAATTAAAGATGAGGATCAAGCTGTGTTACTGCTTTGTTCTCTATCCCCATTTTTAAAGCATATAAGAGATACTATGCTTTATGCAAAGGATAATATCTTTTATAAGGATATTAAATCTATCTTAAAATCAAAAGAACAGATAGATAGTGATATTACTGGAGAAGCTAGTGGAACTCAAGCGGAAGTTGGCTTGTTTGTTAGGGGCAAATCCGACTCCAATTCCAGATACAATAATTTAGAGTGTCGCTATTGTCATAAGAAAGGTCACAATATCTCTGAATGCTATAAACTGAAAAATAAAGAAAAGCACAAAGAAAGAAAAAATGAGCACAAAAATACTGACACCGCTGAAGCTAGTGTAGCAACTGATGAGATTGAGGGAACTATATTTTTAGCAACTGAAACTAGTTTCAGATTAGACAATGAGTGAATTTTAGATTCCGGTTGTTCATATCATATGTGTCCTAGCAGGGACTTGTTTTCTACATATGATTCAGTTACAGGTGGAGTTGTTTAATTGGGTAACAATGTTACTTGTAACGTTATTGGCAAAGGTACAATTCAGGTCAGAATGCACGATGATGTGGTGAGAACTCTCACCGATGTTAGATATGTTCCTGAGTTGAAGAAAAATCTCATATCTTTGGGCACTTTAGAATCCCTTGGGTGCAAATTCACTGGTGAAGGTGGAGTTCTGAAAATTTTTCAAGGTGCTCGTTTGATCATGAAAGCACACAGATCTGGTTCATTGTATACTTTATTGGGATCCACTGTTAGAGGCCCTACTACAGTTTTGGTATCAGACAATTTGTCTGATTTTGATGGCATTAAATTTTGACATATGCCCATTGGGGCTTTTGCGGAGAAGGTGGAGCAAATTTACTATATCATCCAAAATTAGGCTAAGGTGGAGATTTGTAATATGGCCATTATTTTGTCAAATGGAGTCCATCTTACATAAGCATAAGCATCTTTGCAAAGTGTATACTTTGTTGGCAATATTCTTTGGGACCCAAAAATATTGCATTGTGTGTTGGACATCATTTGCACAAGTTGTATCTCTTCTTTTACACCTAAGAGGTTAAGACTTTTTTGCCTATAAAAGGGAAGATCATTAGTTCATTTTAGATACACCAACAAGACTTGAGTCTTCATTTCTTGTTTCTTCCTTTCTTCCTTTATTAAGAGTGTTTTGTATGAGAGTTAGTGTTGGGAAGCACTTGTGTGAACCCTTTCTTTGGAGTGATCTTGTGAGGTTATTCNTGCAAATTAAGTTAGCGAACAATAGACCATTGTGGTCCTGACCTTCCCGGACTAGCGCATAACGGAAGCTTAATATACCGGGCTGTCCTTTCAATTTATTTACTACTTAATCTTTCCGTGTTTATCTCTTCTGCTCCCTTTTAATTTTATATAACCTGGCTCTTCGATTTCTTAAATGGTCGCTTGATTATCATTCACATCTCTAATGATTATATATAATATTACTTTGTGTACCCATGTGTATCTAATTAATCTTATGTGATACATCAATAATGCTGCTGCATTTAATATGACAATTGGTAAAGACGAAATGGGAAGGAATCTACCCATGTGCATACAAGGAATAAATAATGTGGACTTACTTACAATAAGTTGACTTGCTGCTTATAATTGATGCAACTAAAATATATAAATGGAATAGTAAAATTCTGAGCAAGAGGAAATCAAAGTGAAGTAAGAAACAACAAAAGGTTGTGCGAATACATTTGATTTGTATCTCAACTTCTCTTATTCTTTTTCCGCTTGCAGTTCAAGTTCATAGCAGTTTAACTCTTTTGTCACAACTTCTGGAAAGACGGAGAGTCATGTTTTTAGACAAAGATTTGTCTAAACTGAGACATGACTTTTTTAAATTTCGACCCTCTAACATCGATGATGTTTCAAGGGATCGATTGGAGTTCTTTCTATGGGAGTTAAATTTCCTGGAGGGTTTTCTCAGTCTGCAGAGCTTCACCTTCGTAGATGTCCCGCAGAAAATGAAAGAAATTTGGAAGAAATCCATAACAGTACAGCAGGCTACTCTCCAAATTATCTTTTCTGGTTCTGACAGGGAGTGGTCCGCTGATCCAAATTTTGATCCCTTTGCCTATGACGTGCCAACGGAAATTTGGAAGACTAAGCTCGAATTTAGATCAAAATACTCCTTTCCCGATATATCATCAATAGCAATTCCAGCCAACAAGGATGATATTCCTCCCCGCAAATTTCTAATGGAACTCATCGATGTTGTTATAGAGAATCTCAATGTTTTAGTGCAGATTGATGATCCTTGTTCGCTACTTTATGTTCCGGAACCAAAGGAACAATTAAAAGAGGTTTTGAAGGAGTTGAATTTGCTGAGGTTTTTCGTTTGCTTTGTTTCAAACAAATGCACAGAGCCAGCTCAAAGCGGACATACTTTCTTCACTCACGTTTTAATTGTGTCCAGCCACGCAGCAATGGTTGCATGGTTGTATTTGCCCATCCATGGCAAGGAAAATCAAGACGTGGCTCCTGGTGAAATGAATGCTTTGTTTTCTAATCTCCTGCAAATGAATATTAGGCCCATTCAGCCAGGTATTCGCAAAATTTATACAGATGTCCTGTGCGCTTTGAAGTCGATTATACAACCAGGATGGCATCCCAATATTCAAAATAAGCATGTAACTGAAAGTGAATTTGTGGAGGCTCCCGCACACAATTTGATGAAGCTACCCACTGTTAGTAATCCTAGTGGGACAGTTTCTTCAAATGATCAAATGGCAATCCTTCAGGATATGCTCAGCCTTATAAGAGCCAATCTCATCCATCTGCCAATACTAGGTCGTGAGTTTCATTGTCAAGATATGGACACTGTTATTGTTGATGCCGGACTTCTTATTTACTCTATATATGACAGTGAGGGGGAGAAAGAAGGCATGACGATGGAGGATGTTAACCAAGCACTTGGTCTTGATCTTCCGGGAAACATTCAGCCTGTCAAAGCCATGATATACCTCATCATTCGAAAGGCGTTTCAATCTAACTTGCCGAGGATTCATGGACTAGGCTATGTTGATTTCTTTTTAAACAACTTGAAGGAGTTCCAGAGCCGCCATTCAGATTCCCTCGCTTTTGTCATGAACCAACTTCAAATAATTCAGAAGGAACTTGAGAGCTTGCAACCTTTTCTAAAGACTGTTTCACAAGACCAACACAATAAGCTCAAGATATTTCAAGATTGTGCTACACAGTTGATTAGCAAAGCATATGAGGTGGAATATGTGGTTGATGCTTGTATAAGCAAAGAAGTTCCTGACTGGTGTCTTGAGCGTTGGCTCCTCGAAATCATAGAGGAGATTACTTGTATCAAAGCAGAGATAGAAGAGATTCAAGAAAAGAAAATGTGTAGTTCAGTACTAGATGATACCAATACTGCCACTAATCATAAGTCATCACAATGGGTTAAGACTCCAATGGTGAATCAACCAATTGTTGGTCTCGAGGACATGAGGAACGAATTGAGAGACAAACTAACAAAAGGATGCCGAGAACTAGATGTTACCTCTATTATCCGTATGCCTGGCCTAGGTAAGACAACTTTGGCCCAAAACCTCTATTCTGATGGTTCAGTTGTTGAACACTTTGATATTCTTGCACAATGCTGTGTGTCTCAAGTGTATAAACGTATCGATTTGCTTTTGGCCATTCTGAACGATGCCATTGGCGAAAGCCCTAGCATCTCTACTGAAGCTGATGTAGCAGAAAAGCTTCAGAAAACTTTGAAGGCAAAAAGATATCTTATCCTTATTGATGATGTGTGGGAAGCTAGTGCGTGGGATGATTTAAGGCCTTGCTTCTATGATGCCAAAAATGGAAGCAGAATCCTTCTAACAACGCGGCATCTTGCACTTGCCAATTATGCTACATCTGTTAGTAAACCTGTTCATCTCCGAATATTGAGCAAAGATGAAAGCTGGGAGTTACTAAAATCTAAAGTAATTGGTGAAGAAAGGTGCTCCCTTTCCCTTGAAAAAGTTGGGCGACTAGTAGCAACAAAGTGTGGAGGGCTTCCTCTTTCAATTGTTTTGGTGGCTGGTATTCTGGCAAGGATGGCGAAGAACGAAGAGAGTTGGAAACAAGTGGCTACAACTTTAAGTTCCCACATTCACGGCGATTCAAAGGCCATTGTGGAACAAAGTTATCAGGATTTACCATGTCATCTTAAGCCTTGCTTCCTTTATTTTGGAGCATTTTTAGAGGATAGAGTGATTAATGTTTCCAAGTTAACAAGATTATGGACCTCAGAAGGATTTCTAAAAAGTTGTGAAGGCAAGAGGTTGGAGGATATAGCCGAAGGTTACTTGGAGAATCTTATGGGAAGAAATCTAGTTATGGATGCTAAGAGGAGTTCAGATGGTAAGGTAGAAGCATGTCGCCTTCATGATGTATTGCTCGAGTTTTGCAAGGAAAAAGCAGCGGAGGAGAATCTTCTGCTATGGATAATACGGTAATATATATACCAATTACGATACTATATTTGTTCAATAAATCAAAATTTCAAGTTATATGTTAAAATTAATTGTACATGTTTTTACTAATTTATATAGTCACAAGGATTAACTATATCAGTTATATTTGAAAATCAATGTTATGATACTGCTAATATTCATAGGGATCACAATGCCAATCCTTCTTCCTGCATTTACTCTCATAAGCAGCATGCGCAACGTCGATTGGCCTTTTGTGAAGTGGATAATCTTGAAGAATGGAGCCCTTCTTGCACACATGTTGGCTCAATACTTTTCAGGAGTAATACAGATTTCTTTGNGAAAATTAATTGTACATGATTTTACTAATTTATATAGTCACAAGGATCAACTATATCAGTTATATTTGAAAATCAATGTTATGATACTGCTAATATGCACAGGGATCACAATGCCAATCCTTCTTCCTGCATTTACTCTCATAAGCAGCATGTGCAACGTCGATTGGCCTTTTGTGAAGTGGATAATCTTGAAGAATGGAGCTCTTCTTGCTCACATGTTGGCTCAATACTTTTCAGGAGTAATACAGATTTCTTTGCCCGAATTTCCGTACCTAAACCCGCTTTCGCTATTTCACGCATCTTACGGAATTTCAAGTTTCTAAAAGTGTTGGATTTGGAGCAGAACGTTGTTATTGATTCTTTTCCAACTGAGCTAGTTTACTTGAGATATATTTATGCAGAAACTAAGCAGAAGTCAATCCCATCGTCCATATCAAATCTTTGGAACCTTGAGACTTTGATATTAAAATCTTGGGGACAAATGTTGTTACCGGTTACTCTTAGGAAGATGAGTAAATTGAGACATGTGCATATTAGTCACTTCTTCATTATAAATAATGCGGAAAAGTTACTTGAGGACTCCTCAAAATTTTATGATTTGGACACTATTTCTCAGCCATATTTTTCTTGTGTCGAGGATGTTGAATTGATGTTGAGAAAAGCACCTAATATTCGGGAGCTGGAATGCAAATTCAAGGGTGTTTGCAGCTCTCTGTTCCCTGTATTGGATTGTTCAGCACAGCTTGTGACGCTACACATTATTGGTGAAGTCTTAGAGCTCCAACATCGGTATCCTGTATGCATCTCCGCATCAAATCTCAAAATATTGAAACTGTCCGTCTTTAGACTGGGCCACGAGCACTTATCAAACATTGGTCAGCTTCAGAACCTTCAGGTGCTAGAACTGCTAGCCATTGAATTTGACGATGAAAAATGGGAAGTGAGCGATGACGAGTTCCCTGGACTCAACGTCTTGAAACTAATGTTTTGTCGCAGTCTTGAAGAATGGGCTGTTTCCGATGACGCATTTCCTAGCCTTGAACGCTTGTTTCTGCGTGGACTAGAAAATCTGAAGAAGATCCCTTCTTGTTTCGAAGATATCTCTTCTTTAAAGTCCATTGAGGTAAGGGAGTGCAACGAATCTGTTGTAAATGCAGCAAGGGATATCCGAGAAAAAATAGTTGAAGAATATCAAATTGCTGATTTCAAGCTCTTCATCAAGTAATCAGAATTCAGGTAACTCAGATAATACGACTACATCCACTCTCATTTAAAGCTTTTATTATTTATTTAGAAGTATGTTAATTTGATAAAGATAAAAGTTCTTGAAATAGAAGTACTATTAATTACTATACTTATTGAGCTATTAACACTGTTTTTTTTAACAGAGTAGGAAGAATCTGTAGCCAGAGCAATTTGGAAGATCGCTGTGTAATTTTTCATAAGTTTCTCTTTAATTAATTTTGTAAAATTGTCCGTCAGTTGCTGCGTTCATTTTAAATAACGAAATAAATTATTCATTGAATCCTTAATGTTTGGTGTAAGTCATTAGATTTTGACTCCTGAGGTTGAATGGTTTCACCCTTTTCTGTTTTCTTATGAGTTATACCACACTTAAGCTTCTGTGGGTGATAGATAAAAATATCAAAAAATTTATATTTCTCTTGCAAGTACTATTTAAGGGTAAATTTTGTATGATGAAAAGTAAAAAAATGCTTTATGATTAGACATATGTAACTAAATTCTCAAAGAAAGAAAGCTGTATGAAATATACTTGTTATGGGAAAACGGAGAATTTGTCAAGATTCTTAGTAGGCGTTTGGACATAAATTTCTAAGATTTCTTTTCAAATTTGGAATTTCAAATTGTGTTTGGTTATAAATTTTGCAACATATTTGGATGTACTTTTTTCAAAACCAAGAAACATGATTTATACCCCACAATTTGTAAAAAAACTATCAAAATCACCTTCACTTGATTATCCTACTTGAAATAAACAATTAAACATGTTGATTGTTTAACTATACGAGCAATCTCTAATAGAAATTGTAGTGGCTCATTCAGGTAAAAGTATAAATTGTATATCTCAACAATGGATATCAAAATATAGTTCAAGACTACTCTATAGGTGTTACCTAGGTTTAATAAGTGATTAGGGTCCTTTTATAAATTTCAAAAATATAGGATAAATTTATAAAACTTAAAAATACTAAATTTCAAATTCGAAAATGCATTTTTAAGTTGAATTTGAAAAAAGTAAAATTTTCATAACAAAATATTGTTTTGAATTTTTTTTTTTTAAAAAAAACGAAAAAATTCTTATGTCCAAACGGGCTCTAATTATGCCTTGTGAGTAACTTCAGAGCCCGTTTGGTCATGAAAAAAAATTCACTTTTTTTTTGGAAAATTTTCACTTTTTTCCGAAATAAGTGTTTGGCCATAAAATTTCTAATTTTCACTTGAAAATAAAATTTGAAATTTTTCGAAAATTTAAAAAACTTCAAAAAACTGATTTTCAAAATTTTTCACTCAGATCACTCACAAAAATTCAAAAACAACCCAAAATTATATTCATGTCCAAATACAACTCTAATTTTCAAATATCATTTTCACTTAAATTTGTTTTCACTTTTTCCGGAATTTTACAATTCGTATGTCCAAACGCCCACTAATCATTGAACTTTTCTCACTATACAAAACTATTTTTGTCACACCAAAATAATAGAATTGTGTGTGACCTGATCGAAAATATACAAGTGAACAGAAGGTCAAATTTCGGGTCCGTGTTATGACATATCACTCGTTACAACATCTCTTTGCTAGTTATTATGTTCAATGTTAAAAAATAAAAATGTTTACCCGTAAATTGATACGGTTAAATTTATCGCGTGGTTTATCGACAAGCGAATCAATTTGATCTCAAAATGGTAAATAAATCATACTATACTAAAAGTAGGAAGCTTCAACTGTCAAAGTTGAATTACAAAAATATCCTTCAAAATTTGGACGATGGTTTTATCCTTCAATTATATATATATTTTGTTGTTATTATTGTACAAATATGTAATATACATTGCAGTTTTGTTAAGAAGTAATCGCTACAGTTTCCATTAAATTGTAAGTTACATTTAGTACTATGAATCGGCCAGAACGTAATAAACTCCTTGGTGTATGGAGTTACATGCTGCAGCTTCTAAACAGTAACTGCAAACTTGAATTTAATTAATTGCTCTTCTGGAAATTGAAGTGTCTCTAACGTAACCATGTATGCTTCGCATGTAACAGATGTTAAGAAATCCGACAGATATGTTTGAGACCTTTCTTCAATGTGACTTTTGAGATTTCTACATAATTCTTAGATGTACTTCTTGACTTACAAGTACAACTACTTTACAAGATTTTTGTGTGATAATATTATTTCATTGGTCAGCAATAGCAACTCATGACTCTGGTTAGTATTATGGACAATGATGGTCATGACATGAATGAATTATTATCATTTCATATACTTCAGTATGTTGGTATTGAAAAGGTTTCCCTGAGTTAGCTATATTATCATTATTTCATCTCTTGTTTGTTTATATGCTACTTCACTATAATTTGCTTCTCCTATTATGTATCTGATAGGCAATTATTAAGTGCTACTCCACCATTTTCAAGGGCCGATGAGATGCCGAAATCAAGGGACAACACCACTTTTCATTCACAGTTTGTTAATATAATTGGTAGAGAATGCAGGCGTTTCAATTGTGGAGTAAGCATTTCAGTTGATGGAAGTAGCATTAATCCCGGTTAAGACATTAAAGCCGTGTTGGGATATATATTATTAACCATGAGTTTTGTTTAGATATAGTATTTATTATGAAATAATTATTTATTCAGTTTTAATATAGTTTTAAATAGATCATATATTAGTCTGTGTCATTTGCTTATATAGTAGATGATTTAGTGTATATAGTTTAGCTTATACACGGCAGATTAAATCATCGATTCTTATAAGTATAAAGTTTGAGTTCACAATCTAATGATAGAATTGGACAAACTATCATGGATGATTGTAGCACAAGATTAAATATAATTTATCTTGATTATGGGAATGGTTTAATTCCAACTTCTTGTGCTAGTACATTTTGTATGTATTGAACGGACCAAGTAGAGATAAGTATTTTATACTGACTTAATAAAATAAACTCTCTAGCCATTAAATGTACTTATACTCTTAATCTTGATATAATTATTATTAGCTGTGTATATTATTATTGTTTTGATTTATTAAAAGGCGAGATTCTTTCGTGGGTCAATATGCCTGGTAAATTGGATAATAATAATATACATTGGCGAAGTAATAGTTAGTTGATGGAATCCATGTCTCAGTTTAGAGATTGATGATATACCTTTATGAAAGCTTATAAGTTTTCATGTGTAAACCCGGCCGGTGGATTTTGTATCCGACACATGAAATAAGTTAAGCGGAAGTCTAAAGGAAATAATCAATAAATTAAAGCGTCAGTAATTTAATTTAATTGATTAGTATATGAATCTTAACATGGGGAGTTAAATAAGATTTAATGGATAAATTTCGAAATTGAATAAGAAGTGCAATTACGAATTTTTAGTGGAATAATTCGTAATTAATTATGGTGGATATTAATTTCGAAAATTAGAAATTAATTCCATAATTGAAAGCCTTGTTAATTAAATTTTGTGGTCCCTCCTGTGCCTAAATAATAGGAAATAAAGGAATCCTTTTTTTTGTGGAAAAGAAAACCCGATTTTGGAAAAGGGTTTTAACCCTTAAAACTTGTGCTATAAATACATAAGGTTTTCCACCTAGAGGAGGAAGAACAAGGTGGCCAAAATTTTCAGCCTTTTTCCTAGAAAATTTCGCCCACACGAAATTACTATTTCTGGATATTATTTGGGCAACACAGTAGAAGACTGTGGAACGTTCGCGAATCTTTATCATGCTGATGATGGAGAATTCATTGAGTTACTGTGGAATTGGAGGCTTACGTGATAGAGGAGCTTTGTTCACGCTTCAAGAGGTAACCCGTGAAATCCCGTTTATGCTAGTTGTCTAGATTACATGTGATTTTGATACTGAGATTGCTTCTGCTGCTTATTATTATCCATCAATTGGTATCAGAGCCCACTCACATCTAATTAGATAACTAGGTTTTTCATGAAACAAGAATATCATTTTTATGTGCATTTTTGAATTACATGTATATGTTATTTTCTGAAAAACTGCACTGTTGTTTGTGAATTAACTGTGCATAAAATTTTGGATTATTCTTGTAATCATAAGATATCTATTTTTTATTGATATTTGATTGGGATGATCTAATTTTTTTTTTAGTAAACCCTAGAAAAACGCAAAACCTGATTTTGACCGAATTGCCGTTTTTTTCGAAGGTCAGCGAACTTGACGGACTCCGATTGAGTCGAAATTTGGTGGGTCAATAGAAAACGACGTGGTGAGAAAACCTCACTACCTTAGCAGTGAATCATGGTATTTTTCGGCGCTTTGAGGTCCTTTGAACTGTATTTTGGACGTTTTTCTATTTTCTGAAAATTATTTCTTAATAATTTTAATTCATTTTTAATTCAATAGTGGTGGGGTGACTCCCCATGGTCTCCATGATTAAATACTAGTGATACGATTGGTTTACACATTAGCTATTAGTAAATAGATGTGTTGTTGTATTAAACTCAATAATAGAAGTATAGGATTTTATTGATTATGTCTTATAAGGTATACTTGATATTATATGATGATATAATTATGTTGTAAGAAAGTGAAATTCTCTGTTTGATATCCTGGATGACTAATGATTGGTGCGTTTGGCATATTTGTGCATAAAATATTTCCCAAATTTTAGTTTATGTTTCCATTCCCTACGTGATTACTAGTCTTGGATTTTTGATGAAAAAAAATGTATATTCTCTGGTTGGAAGTTGTAATTAAGTGAAATATGATGGTATTTTGTATGAGTTTTATATTATTGGTATGTCTTTTAAGCTATGGTCAATATTCTGCCATAAAATAATTTTATGAGCTACATGTATATTCACTTGAAAATTGAGAATTTTGTGAGTAATAAATAGTTACCACTAAAGTGGTTTGTTTATTTGAACTCATGAAAAATTCTTAATAAATTTGTACATGTGAAATTATGTCTATTCATGGATTGAGCATTATGATTAATAAGTAGGATCCACAAAATAGTCTATTTATTTGAGTCATTAAAATCTGCTTAATGTACCATGTAAAAATTATCCTTGATAAATTTACATTAGTGGTGGAGGTTCTTAACTAGAAAAAGACTTTTTATCTTTGGGTATTAGTGAGACCAACTCCACCCATGAGAAGATATATTGGGGTTTTCGCTGAACGGGAGAAAATATAATATCTTAGGTTCTTGTGTATTTAATAAAAGGATAATTTATTACAAAAGGAGATATTATGTATCCTAAAAATAGGAAGAATATAATATATATGCCTTGAGCTCATAGTATAATTATAAGAAGA